TACTACTCCTACTACTACTACTACTCGTCGTACTACTACTCTCTCTCTCTCTCTCTCTCTCTCTCTCTCTCTCTCTCTCTCCCCATGTACAATGCACGGGCTGTAGACTGGTTGCAATGTGTGATTCTGTAAACTGCTGTAGACTGGTTGCAACGTATGATTATGTAAACTAAGCAGGTATTATATGCTAGGCCATGCTTACTCTAAATTTATATACGTTACTATCTTCATCTTCTGCAGGCCCGTCGTCCTGGTGGTGCAGACTTCTTTATCTGCTATGGAGGAGTTCAACTTCGTGAGAATGTGGCCGCCAAAGCTGACTGGTTGGTTTTAAGCTTTGACGATTTGATAAATCACCTCGACCGTTAGGAGTGGGCTCGAGCTTCGTAGCACTACTTATGGAATCATTGTGAAAAATGAGCTTAACAAGTTGGTGGAAACTCGTGACTCTTGATTTGAGGAATTTGAAAGGCCAAAAGCGTACCGTAAGTAAATTGATTGCACATAGTTTCAATATTTGCATCCTCATTGTTATGCGGCTGACATTGCTGTAATTTGATTTTGCCCTATAGATGTGATTTATTGGTGAGAAATAAGCTGCAAAAGGGCAGCTTTTATGCTCTCTTAAAAATACTACAGAGTTTGTGGGGCTTCATGCCTCTGAATTTTCATTTTTTCCACCATTTTGCAAATTAGCAAAACGGATGCAAGCTTAAAATCCTCAAATGAGCGAATTGAATGGACTGCGAAGTTTAAGATTGTGAACAAATATTGTGGCACGGTGAATGGCATTTAAGAATTAGGTTCCCCCATGTGCACAATTTTTAGTAGACTGAGTATTGGTGAATCTTATGTACGGCGAGTCCTCTCAGTTTTCCTTTTCTGACAAATAAATGGCACTTAACCATAGTGTATTCGGTCGAACACTAAATGTGGGATCAAAAGTATACCGCAAAACATCATGCATAAATTCTCGGCCTAATATATAAAGGTATGTTTGTTAGCACCCTAATATTCTAATATTTTTAGATAATATGGAATCTTCAATAATTGAAATTATATAATAGATGCAGTTGGCATACGGATGCATCCGTAGCTATAGAGGTAAGGTGCACTTTCAAATTTTATCATGGTATATAATTTTGATGTAAAATGTTCTTAAGATTATCTCAAAATCTATTTTTATATCTAATTATACAATTTTAAATTTCAAAAATGGTTAAAATCAAGTAGATCTATAAACATATGAAAATCTTGAAAAAGGACGGTATACATAATATGTTGTAAAATGCACTATTTTTGAGATTTAATTTTTATTTTTATTTTTATGGTCATATGTCTTGATGTCGAGATGATAAATCGAAGGGTTTTTCAACATTAAAACTACCTTTTTCGATGGATTTTTGAGGTGCATCCGTAGTTCTACATTATAAAGTTGCATCCTTATATAAACTTTTTCCTTATATAAATTTGCATACCATGTTTGATAGAAAAGCTCCCTCTGTCAGTGGAGACCAAACCAGAAGCCCCATGGCCATGGCCACCTCTACTTCAAGCTTGCATTGAAGTAGGGCCCCATTGCCAAACCAGGAGCCTGCTCTGATGCAGGTTCTTCACCAAACCAGAAGCCTCATCGTCATGGCCACCGTACTTCAAGTTTGTATCGAAGCAAGGCCCATCGCTAAGGCCACCCCTACTACAAGCTTGCATTGAAGCTAGGGCCCGGTGGTTTGTTTTTAAACCTTGGTTTTTAGGGATCTCTGTCTGTGTACCAATAAAATAGAGAACCCATAAAAAAATATATGTTTGACCGGTTTTGGGGGAGGAAACCATGAAAGTAGAGTGGTTGAGGATGAAGCTTGAGATTGAACGTTGCTTGCTTTATGAGAACCCAAATCATTTCTCTGCATAAAATGTGGTTTTATCCTTTTATGTTAGAAATTGCTCTGCAAATCTGCCATCAGTGGAGCTACTGCAGCTATTACGATAAATCCATGTTTCATAGCTCAAAAACCTGCTATTGCCCCTATGCACGTTAACAAAGTTCCAAAACCTAATTAATTTCTTTGTAGTGAAGGCATAATGGGTTCTTTTTTTTCATCAGAGCTTCCTATACAACTCCAACATTGATGTTGCTCCAATCTTTTTTTCACATTTCTCTATACATAACAAACAGCATTGGTCCCCTCTATTAAAAAATTCCTCTAAAAAGCCACTAATAGTGGAACACAAGCTTCTCAGCGATGTAATCATAAAAGTTGCAGAATGCAGCAAAAGTTGCAACAAGCCATAAAGCACCCAAATTCAGTAAAATTTGAAGCCATCAAAAATCGATAATCATGGAATTAGAGCCAACCATCAGAAAGAACGCGACGACAATGCAAAGAAAATGCCTCTCTGAAGTCTGGCAATGGGTGTTAGAGAAAGAAAGATCGCATTATGGGACTTGTGGTTACGAGATGCCGCCTTTTTAGAGAGGAAAGACATGGGAGTCATGATGCATATTGCTTGCACCCCCCATTTTTTTATAAAATACAATCAAACATGTACAGAAAAACACATATATATCAGTATAATGTATAATTATATTTGGCAATGGCTTTATTCAAATTTTTATAAATTTAAATATTCTGATTTTATTTTGTCAAACTGACCCTAATTAATCAACTTTATACTATATAAGGCGTACCTAAGAAGTCCATTGAAAAAGGTTGTTTCCATGCTAGAGATCACTCCAAGTGATAATCTTGACTTGGGGATATGGGATTTTAAGTGAAAAAATAATGCATATTCTAACATAATATTTTCGAAGCTGTCAATATCAAGATTTTTAAATGTTTATAGATTTGTTTGATTGGCTGGAAATAGAATTTCAAATCAAAGTAAAAGTTTCTATTAGGAGGCATGTCTTATTTTGATTGTTTAAGGTTGGATTGGAGGTATGCCTTTTTTTTATTGTTTAAAGTTGACTCCTGCAAATTGCACCTATAACGACTAAAAGGAAATTCATGCTCATGTCCTTTATTTTATTGTGGTATTATTTAAATGTCTCCTAATTTTATATTTTATGCTCGTGTTTTTTTTATTTTTTATTTTTATTTCTCAAAATACTCCTGATTAAAAACTCAAAGTTTCAAACTGAAGTGTTTTTTTTTTTTTTGGGTAGATCAGTAGAGAATACAGGACCCTAACGATTTTTAGAAATAACTAGCAGCTTTGAAATGCGTAAGTGCAAATGGAAACATAGACCGGTTTTGGAACTTGGTGTACGAAGAAATCAGTCCAAAACTTGTAGTTTCAACCGATCTCTACCCTATTTTCAACTCGTGGGTGCCTTGAGAAAAATAAAAAACACGAAAAAAAATTACTTAAGCATAAAATATGACAAGTGAGCAATATTTTTTAAGTACCAAAAAATTAAGAGATATTTACTTGTATTTCCCTAACTAATAACATGACTCATGAAGTGTAGAGCTGAGGCTCAAACAATCAAATTAGAGCCCACCTAAAAACATTTCACTAGAAAAAGTGTTTTGATTCCCAAATATCCTAAAATTGATCATTTCAACATCAAGATGCATGGACACGAGAAAAAAATAGATTTCAAGTTTTGGAAATAGTGCATCTTATAATGTATTTTTGGACCGTTAATTTTCAAGTTTTCATATATGTGCTCCATGTACACTATTTTTGAAGCTTTAAATTTTATAATTAAATATAAAAATATATTTTAAGGCTATCACAAAGATTTTCAATATTGAAACCACATTTCTCGACATGATACGTTTTATTTTGATTGTTTAGAGCCTCGAGTCTATACAAAACAGCACCCTTGATCGAAACCTACGTAATCGAAGTTGAATACAGACATGCTGTTGGTAATGGTTTGAACAAGGTTAGATCCTATCAAATAAATTGCATCGTAGATGCACAAAATTATATGTTTGACTTTTGAGTAAATCTCCCTGGGTGATGCAAACTTTACGGTTTAATAGTTTTAGTGAAAATACATGTATTAATGTTGTTTTAACGTTGTTGACCCTATGTGCAAAAGGAAATATGAACAATGTAGAACTCATGTGTCTTTTGAGATAATGTTAATACATGGCACATGTTTTAGGATGATGTTTAATCTGCACCGTAAAATATTGTCCAAATAAAATAGACCAACCTTACTTTTGCAAGCTTATTTAAACTTTTTCCAACTATATAAGATTTCAGGCTTATATAAAAAATTTTCAACTATATATGGAGCAAATGAGTATTTTCTTTGCTTTCTTAATTTGGATTGGCAAGTGAATGGGAAGGCATCGGAATGGAACTCAACAAATAAATGTTCAACGGGAAAACCGAGCTGTGAGTTTTTCTTTTTTTTCAATTCTTTTTCTATTCGTCACCGTCTGAATCACTAACAATTGATCATTTTACAATAAAATAATTTCGAATAATAAAAAAAAAAGAATATAATAAGATTTTAAGAACTTGAAGACATTTAAACCACACTTTTCATTAACAAAGAAAAAAGGACAATCTATGCTTGGGAATGAAGAAAGCACATAAATCAAATAAGTAAGAAACAAAAAAGAGTGAAATTGAGGTAAAACAAATACCGAGTCACCACCTTTCGATGGCGTGTGATCTAATGGTCAACCTTCATTCTCAGACGTGAGATCTAATGTCAACCTTCAATCTCAACCGGAAAAATAAGTTTGAACAAGCCACACCAATGGAATATGAACCCCTTATTGCAAAACTCAAAACCCCTAGATGAATCCCCATAGGGACTTAATTTGAGAGAGAGATGATCCTCGTACTACCATAACCCTATAATCTTAGAATGCCAATGAGACATGAGAGAAAACACCATGAGAGAGAGCATGGAAGAGAGAGTGGGGCGTGCCCCCTTTGGGCTATCAAGAGAGAGAGAGAGATTTTTAAGTGGGATGTGCCCCCTATGGTAGGTTGTAAGAGAGAGAGATAAGGATAATTCTAAGTGTGTAGAGATTTGGGTAGAGGCAATCCTTTTTTTATAGAGCATGAATAGGATTAGGGTTTCCAAGGGTTTTCCTTGGTTTTCTACTCACATGAGATTGAATATGAACCATTTATCTTGGGTGACTTATGGGGTGAGAGATCTAAGCTCTCCATTTCATATAAGGGCCATCAACATCATATGAATGGTTCTAGACTATTATCCCCCACTTCCTAAACTATTTTCCCATTAAATAATTTAAATAAAAAATTAACATATCATAATATTAGCATTTCTTATTTTTATCCATAAGTTTTATCACACATTCCAAAATATTAATCAAATAATCCTCAAGGCTTCAAACCAGTGTTCGCAAAACCGGTCGATTAGAATCAGAACCGACCAGTTGGATCGCTATTGGTGGGGTGGCAATTCCGGTTATGGCCGGTTTTACGGTATACATGGTAAGACGGAACTCTCCAAAAAAAAATCGGGACCTAAACCTACCGGTTCAATGTCAAACTAGCAATTTTTCTTCAAAACCGGCTAGTTTTCCTAACCGGTCCTGTTTACTATTGTTTTCGTCTGTTATAATGCTGTTATAACTCATCAAATAACGGTCGTTATTTGACACAGGCCCGTTATTTTCATAGATAAAGATTTTGCAGCTTTTTTTCCATTTTGTATTTTTTTTTTTGTTTTTTTAAGCAACTATTGATGTTATACACCGTAAAGTTTCTATCTATTATCTATTATTCAATCAAAGGTTGAAAAACAAAGAGTTCTTGGCGGATTGCAATGGGGATTTTTGAAAATTAGAAATTTCTGCCATTGT